TTTAGTAAGATGGTGTAGAGTTCAGGGAAACCACACTGGCTAAATCACTAGCCTGGACTATTAACTAATTTCCCTAGGTATGAGAAGGCCAGAAGAGGGAACTTTTGCCAGAACCCAGTGGAAAGGATAATATGGAGAGGGCAGCCTTGACAGTAGCAATGGAAGAAGGAGAGGGAATAAATATCCAGACTTCATTCTCTTCCCTTCCTCCTATTTCCTGCCAGCATGCCCTGTTGGCTGACACCTGGCAATGTGGTCCTTAGAAGCCGGACCCAGAGTAGGGCAGAAAGTGCAGACAGGGCACAGAGTAGGGCAGAAAGTGCAGACAGTGGATCTGAAGGGCAAAAGAAAGGTATCTGGCACATGTGAAAGGTATCTACTCATAAATTTCCTAGCTGCTCTTGCACGTAGACTTTACCAGTGACCACAGTCTTACCAGAGTATTTGTGAACCTTAAAACCAGCCTGTGTACTTGGAACCTCTTCCTGTTTTATCTGTTTGTGCTTACCTTCTAGTAGCTATTCTGTTTATTTGAAACCCATTCCCTGTCTGTTTTCTTTCATCTGAAATCTGATATATGTATTTGGAATCCCCTCTCTTTTTCTCCAGTCTGTGCTGACCAGTTAGATCCTGAAGCCCTCCTAATTAAGGGGGCTTCTGGTCTTTGTTAGACTCTTAGGCAATAGACTCATACTGTGTAGTAGACATTTTTTCTTACCCCTGAGTTGCTTGTGGACTTTGAACTTCCTTAGGGGTGGAGACTGGATTTCCTTTAGCTTGCCAGAGTGAATTTAGATGATTCTGAGGCTGTCTCCAGTCTAATGAGTGTGGTGGTGAGTAGAGGCAGCTGCTGCCATCATAGAAATGAAGAGTTGCGACTTGCATTTCCTCTGTTGGTTCTCTTGGCATTATGCACTCTGCTCTGGCCCACCTTACTCTTATCTTGAATAGCTGACTGCCTAGTACCTCTCACTTTAGTCTTTCTTATCTCATATTCTGCCTAGCCCAAGTAGGACAAGGAAAAAAAGAAAAAAAGAATGCTTTAGACTTCTGCAGAATAAAGGAACTCAGATTTTAAAAGTACAACTAAAGAAAGTCTTACTTTAACTTGGAGAAATATAAAATCACGGGAATCTAAAATCTTAAACTGGGAGAATATTTTGTAACTAGTTGAGTGGAAAAAAACCTGAGATTAAAAAAAAAAAAAAGTCATACTTCTTTGACCACTCAATTTATCTTTGCCATTCAGAAACTTTTTATTAAGAGCAGAAGGGACTGTCAAAGTCATTGAGTCCATCTCCCTTTCTTTACAGATGAGGCTACATATTCAGAAAGCAAATGATTTGCCCACATAGTGGCAAGTGATGGAGCTAGAGTGAGAACCTGGTTCTCCTGAGCTTATGTTCTGTCCACTTTACCAACTTGTTTCTCATTTTGAACGCAGGACTGACTTCCTAGTGTGGATTGCCAACCTATTGTCTCTTCGTGTGGTTATGTATTATGTATTAGCTCTCAAGCTAGATGGGAAGCAATTTGAAGGCAATACCCAAATCCTATACTTTTAAATCCATCACAGTCCTTCACATAATGATGCATATTTAGAGTATAAGTGTTGCACCCTGTACGAGTTCATTAAGCATCTGTAGAACTGATCAGTGCTCTTTGTTGAAGAATGAATGACTTAGGACAGAAGGAGTTACTAAAGACAGAAGCATTAGAGAAATAAACTGTAGACAATGTTTAGTTGGGAAAGAGAGTCAGAAGGGTTCTAATGACTGAATGACCTTCTTGAGGATTATGTTGACAATTTGTCATTCAGCTGAGGCCTGTGTAAGGAAAAGGAGACTGCATGAGCAAGTTAAATGAGAAATGTTCAGTTTTAGAGTGGCAAGAGCCAGTTTCTAATTTGAGCAGATAGACACACTCTCTGTGTCTCTGTGTCCATCTGGGTGGGGAGAACTGGGATAAAGGAAATATGTTATAGGCTGATAATAGTGTTATTGCCATACAGATATTATTTCCAGAGACACTTTCAAGAAAAGACACTCTTGTTTCTTCCTGTTTTTGCTCTTTCAAGGGAGATGTTCAAGCATTTTTATGTTTCTTTTTATGGTGTTGCACTGTGTTGGTGAATGTGGGATGACTGTAGTTGGAGTTGAAAGTGCAGAGGGATCTCCTTCCTTAATTCCTGAGTGCTCTGTGGAGGTGTAGTAGCCATCTGGATATCAGAAGAAAGTGCCTAATGAGCTCCTTTTGGTTTTGGTCGAAGACTTTTGAATTGATTGTTAAATTCACTTTAACTTAGAAGCCTGTGTTTTCTTTTATATGGTATAAAAGGAGGCGATTCCAAGGGCTCTGTGATGGACATATGCACCAGCAGCTGTTATTCTGTATTTTGACTTGCTCCCCCTGCCTCCCCACATCCACAGCCCTGCAGGTGCCTGCTATGAGGAAGTCTTGACCCATCCTTTTTGTCCGGGGTGCTTGATCTATGCTGTTTCCAGGTGGCTTGGCGCTCCTCTGAGACAGACATCAATTGCAGAGATCAGAGTGGGCTGTCTTTTGAAGAGGTTTTTCACATTCTGCTTTGCAAACCTGTTGAGAGATGTGGTGTTCCTTTCATGTTTCCCTTCCATCTGTCTCTGGAAAAGGCAAAGGGAGTGTCTTCATGTGACTAGGGCCTATTGATGTTGGCTGCAAATTCATTTCAAATTAATTTCTACATTTTTGTCATAAGCATCTAACAGCCATTGTATTCCCTTGATCTTGACATTGCTCTAGTGAGATTGCCAGTGGGCAACAGGAGGAACAGTTTCTGTGCGCTCTCTAAAGCAAGAACAAAGGAAAAGTTTTCATTTATCATGGGGGTTATATTAAATGCCATTCTTAATTCTCTCCTTTGTATAATATTGGGTCCTGGGTAATAGCATGAGTATTACAAGATTTTATTGGTTATCTAGTTGAGCTTCTAGTGACACCTCGTCAAGCAACCATAGACGTTTATTAACTACTGACTACCTCTGTATGCCAGGTACTATGGTGTTTCAACTAAACCATTGTGTAGTCTTGCAAAACCCCTTACAAGATAATTGTAGTTATCATTGTATTATAGATGAAAAAACAAAACAAAATCTGAGGCTAAATTTTAGCCTTATTTCCCAAAATCCCATATCAAGTATGTGTTTGGGAGACACCTTTGACCTACTGAGTCCAAAGTTTTTTCTCTTTGCATTATACCTGGGGGCCATAAGTGATCCAAATCTAGCCTGCCACCTGTCTTTGTTTATTAGATAGAACACATCCACGCCCTTCTGTTTACATATTTCCTAGGGTTGCTTTTACACTACAATGGCAGAGTTGAATAGTTGCAACAGAGACTAGATGGCCCACAAAGCAGGAAATATTAAATATCTGAGGCTTTAAGAAAAACTGTTGATACTTGCACTATACTGTTGCTGATAGTGGCCATTGTCATCAACAAATAAGACAGTTTTCCTATCTGCACATTGCAAGTATAAAAACGAGAGTCTTTCATCTATCTGTCTGCCTCAGACTTTTCATTTTCCCATTTTATTTCATTTTGTCTTTTAAATATTTTTGTTATGCTTTTGTAAAGGTAGTGGCTTTTACCTCTCAGTCTAAATGCCAGTTAGTAATAGTTTGATTTATTTATTTAGAGATTTCCTGTCAGGAGTCTTGTAATAGATTGTTTGAGATTCTAAATGGTTTCATGAAGCATAAATTTTTCAGCAGGCCTTTCTTTCTTGAGGGGAAAAAGTCAGATAATTTAATTGTGTGATGTTTCGGCAAGTTCTGTTGCTTTCCTTTTGAAAGGAGAAACTCCCTGTGTTTTTGCCTGATGTTAATGTACCATTACACAGAAAAATTCTAGCCAAGATGGACTTGAGGAAATATTAATATCAGTTTTACACTCCTCAGGTTTATTGGAGGCCTGCCTAGAAGGAAGTCAGTTGGAAGGCAGCAGTTTTCAAATGTCAGTGTACATAAGAAACACCTTGGGTTATTTGTTTTGAAAAAAATATAGATTCCCAGAGCCTCAACCCTGAAGATTCTGAATCAGTAAGTTTGCTGTAGATACCTCTGATGCTTATGAGAAAAAACTGGTTTGGGGAATGGAGTCATGGCTTAATGCAGTGATTTTAGGTCAGGGGTCCTCAAACATTTTAAACAGGGGGCCAGTTCACTGTCCCTCAGACTGGTTGGAGGGCCAGACTATAGTTTAAAAAAAAAACTATGAGCAAATTCCTGTGCACACTGTACATATCTTATTTTGAAGTAAAAAAACAAACAGGCAAAAAGCACCCGCATGTGGCCCGCGGGCCATAGTTTGAGGACGCCTATTATAGGTAGTCCAAATAAGTGTATTATCCATGACTAGTTTTTTAATCTTGGTTCAGTTTACCTTAGAATTGATGTAACTATAAATGTTTAAATACAACATAACAAGTAATAAAATAATGCCACTATAAATATATTTTAACTACTTCCACTACCACTAATAATGACAGTAACATCTTATGTTTGTGCTTTATAGTTATAGAGTCCCTCATTACATACCTATCATTTGATTTCCATGTCAGCTCTTGAGGTAGATGTGGCAAGCGGTATAATTTTCATTTACCAATGAGAAAACTGAGATTTGGGAAACAATTTTTTTCTCCAACGTGGCACAGCTAATAAGCAGTGCATCTAGAATTCCCAAACAGCACTTTTAGTAATAATTTTTAGTCCAGTGTTACTTTTAGTGTATCATATTGTCCTTGTAACCTGTTTTGATTTTCAGAGGAAAATATAATTATTTCATAGCTCACTGCCTTCTGATAGGAGGGATGAACTATCCACAGTTAAATACTTTGGGTGACTCTCCTGTGGGTGACTCAGCATGGAGGTGATCGCTGGTGTGTGCAGATTGGTGAGTCTGTTGTCTTTATAGAACATTCCTAGCATGGAAGAAAATACCTCCTTCCATCCTTTGACAGAAACTTTATAAGACGGGTCGGGAGATGCAAGAGAGAATCATGGACCTGCTTGTGGTGGTGGAAAATGAAGATGTAACTATTGAGCTAATTCAAGTGAATGAGGATTTGAATAACGCCATCCTTGGGTATGAGAGGTGAGCAGATGGTATACCTTCTCCATCCATCCTCCAATTCCAGTTTCACCACCAGTTACTCAGCATTCTCATTAGAGTGCCTGCCAAGGAACACTTCCTATATCCTGTGTCTCAATGGGAGACGTATTAGCATTTTGTTTGTTTTGGTTTGTTTTTTTTTGAGACTGAGTCTCACTTTGTTGCCCGGGCTAGAGTGAGTGCTGTGGCCTCAGCCTAGCTCACAGCAGTCTCAAACTCCTGGGCTCAAGCGATCCTCCTGCCTCAGCCTCCCGAGTAGCTGGGACTACAGGCATGCGCCACCATGCTCTATGTCTACTAGTCGAGTTAAATTTATGTTGCACAACAGTATGCATTTTTGCTCTTAATAGCTGTTTAGGTTATTTGTTCTATTGACTCTCTTGATGTTACTGTGGGCACTTTAACAGGAGTTTGGCTTATCTTATCTCTGTGTTTCTTTGTTTATTTTTTTTTGCTTCTTTATGTTTAACTATTTTGCTAGTAATGCGAATATTGTTGATATTTATATTTCAGTTGGTTGTGTACAGAACCTGTTTATTTTATTTCTATTATCACTTCTATTTTTTTTAGGAGATTGTGCTAGAGTCAATTCCTATCAAGGCAGATATTGAGAGTCTCTTGTCTATCATTTCTCAGTCTAGGGCCTGGTTGGCTTATCTACGTAACATTTTCTGATCTTCAGCTATAACGTATCGTCGGCTAGCTGCCGTCAGGCCTTAATTTATTTATCCATTAAACATCAGAGTGTCGAGGTATAGCTCAATAAAATAGAAGAGTATGTGATGGCTCGGATTCCAGGCATAACGCGCTGCCATAAGCCTTATGATTTTTGAATCACTTGCCTTTAAGGCTAACTAGCATGGGACTATGCACAGGATTTGTGGGCTGGATTCATTTATGCCAATTCTTCATCATTTGAGGACCTGTTTCGTCAGAAATATATAATATATATCTAGTCAGGATGCTCAATGATTAGATATCTGGCTTCTGTGAATTTCTTAATGGATTAAAAATCTTAAGTTCTTAGAAAAGTTATGCACATATCCAAAATCATCAGCTAGATTTGCCTCCAGGCTCTTCACTCTTCCTTAATGTCAGATTGGCCTCATTCTTCATCAACTGGCTAGAAATATAGCCACTGTGCATAAATTCCCAGTAATTCTCAACATAATTGGTGCCTCTAAGGTGCAAGAAATGTACTTTAAGGCAGGCACAGTGACTCATGCTTAATCCCAGCACTTTGGGAGGCTCAGGCTGGAGGATCCCTTGAGGCCAGGAGTTTGAGACCAGCCTGGGCACAAAGCGAGACTTTCGTCTCTACAAAGAAGAAAATTACCAGGCACGAGGATCACTTGAACCGGAACGAGAGTTACAATAAGCTATGATCATTCCACTGCATTCTATCCTGGATGACAGAGCAAGACCCTGTCAAAAAAAAAAAGAAAAAAAGGAGAAGAGAGAGAAAGAAAGAGAGAAAAAGAAGAAAAAGAAAAGAAAAAAGAAAAGAAGAAAGAAAGAAAATCACTTAACTGGGAGAAACATCTTCCTGGCATTTACTGACGCAGGGCACACACTAAAGGAAAATCATCCCATCCAAAATGCTATATAGGGCGGGGGTGGTGGCTCACGCCTGTATCTAGCACACTGGAGGCCGCAGGCAGGCGGATAGCTCAAGGCAGTGTTTGAAACCAGCTGAGCAAGAGCGAGACCCCATCTCTACTACAAATTAAAAGAAAGTAATTGGCCAACTATACAGAAAAAATTAGCAGGCG